TCTCTGAGAGACAGTCTGTGGGCAGAGGTGGTGTGTGTCCAGAGAGTGACCATTAATACCTAGCGATCCTCTCTGAAAATGTTACACGTTGCTAATAGCGTCTCATTTGACTGTAGTCTAACACAACACATTTAACAAGCAGTGTACTCTCCCGTGTTGCTAACATACCCGTTTCACCCCGACTGGCTGCGTGGAGTTGCTTCGGGCGACGTCTGCTCCCTTCCTCTCTGGCAAATCCTAAGCCAGCATAACGCCAAGATGCTCCTGCTCATCAGCAGTTCTCGTGAGGAGGACTCTGCATTGGGATCTCACCTGGCATTTTCAGGACAAGCTTAAGAAAAGTTTCAGAAATTGTGAAACAGCTTTGCCTTCAGTCTGCTGGGGATACCTTTTAGGATGCCTTTTACTTCTGTCTCAGCTGCCTCCTCCTTAGCTTAAGTGTCTTAAAGAAATAGGAGTTGTGGGAATTCGCTCAAGATAATGGTAGGGAAAAGTAAAGATATTTTTCTCAAACACTGTAGGAATATATCCGCTCTGGATCCCATCGAGTTGTTCGAGTACGGTGGACATTCACACTGTAAAGGTAGCCAACAATACCTGTCATTTCTGACTCCTCCTGTAAGCTGAGGCATTAGTCACAGAGCAGTGCCTTTTTTTTTTTTAAACCCACATCCCACACTCAGGAATAAAGGAGGAAACCATATAAAGATTATTCTCATTTCATTAGCTAATCTGAACATGCCAAACGACCTGTGCTAGCTCTCCAGGAAATGTAGTGGTTCCCAGTCCAGCCTCAGCACATCTTCAAGGTATTTATTTAAAGCTCCTTGAGCTTTAAACAGGTGCGGGGCAGGACACTTTTCAGACCATGAATTGTTAGAAGCCATTCTGAAGCACGTTTAGCAGAAGAGACCTGGGATGACACTGTTTTACAGAGTGGCACCCGTATTTTTGTGAGTACTTGCCATCTGCATGGATGGGTGTGGTCTGGCTGCCATGTGGGGAAAAATATGCGTTTGTGTAGATGTTCCCTGCTCTGCTGTCATCAAACACTGAAATAGCCTGTCTGAAAGTGCTGAAGAAACTAGAATGAAGTCCCTGGAGCCTAGATCTATAGTTAGAGCGGCATTACTGGATGATGTGATCCTACCAGATTGCAGGGTTTATTTTTTTTACAACATTAGAGGACTCATCAACCCTGAAGGGACTAAGGGAGGGAGGATGGAGAGGATGAAACCACCTGCATGTGCAGCACTGCAGGTTTAAAGCTCCAAGTCCCAGGGCTCGGCGCACACAGTGCATCTGTTTAACACCCTTGCTGCTTCTGGGCTTCACCCTGAGAATTGCTCCAGCACCACACGCCACAGAGCATCCCCCCTGCACTCGCATTAGGCTTCTCTTAACATTCAGAGGGAAACAACAAAAGTTCCCCTTTTCCCTTACAGCTCTCTCACTTTCCGCCTAATGAAGGTGGAATATAAAATGTTGACGGAAAAAGCAGTTTTCCCCCTACAGTAGAATTTCCTTTTCAGTTATTTTTAATCTGACATCTGTTTTAACATGGACTCAGACACTACACTTATTTTAATTTCTTCCCTCCCTTGTGTTTTATTATTTACCTCCTGTTCCAAAGAGATCACAAAAGATTACACTTCTGTGCAGCAATAACAGTGGTGGCGATGATCTCTTACTTCTCACAACTTCTCTTTTTACCCCTCTGTTTTTTCCTTTATCTACATCTTCCTGTCACTGCCCTCCCAGAGGCCTCGTTACAGTCGCTATCAGATGGGGTGATGGCATTCACGGGTTTTTTGGGAATCGGACAGATTTGTGCTAACTAGAACACAAAGCACTTCTTGTTCAGCACCCGGATAGTCGTTCTTTGCTCTGGTTCAATTCATGCCTTTAAATAAGTTAGAGCAAGAAATCACACTCTGGGTCAGCCGGTGCCTGTACTTTGAAGAAAGCCCAAGACTCCGCTGAAGGCAGCAGAAAGCAGCCAATGCTGAGACGTGCCAGCCAGACTTCTGACATGGTGCCGGCTGAACATTTCATTTCCCCTGGAAATGAAGATAACATCCTTAATCAACTTATGTGTAATTAAATCATGGAGAATACGCATTCTCCAGCTTCTCCTCAGAAGCTGGTTGCTCAGGTCTGAGCATTAGGGTGGAAAACAAAAACTCTCGATAGACCAGTAATCACTACAGACAGTTTTAGCACCTTCCAGCCCCAGGGCAACCTCTCAGGCAGTAAGAGCACAGGCTGGTTCGTGCAGCCGGCAGGCACGACGGTAAGCCTTGGCAGGCTCCTCCATCAGCCCACTTGCTCTCCAGGTTGCGACAGTGGCCGGGACCCCTAACCCGCGGGATTACCAAACCAGCCTTCTCACTGGCCTCGGCCCAGACGTAGGAAGTGCACTGGTTGGTTGGTTTGCTTGTTCGCCTGTTTGTTACGACTAGTAAACAGGTGAGAACTCACGTAAGACTTTGAATAAAAACAGAGCTTGTGCTATTATTGAAATGGAAAAATCAGCTTATAAAGCTTTCCCTTGTTTTTCTGGGCAAACCATCATCCATTTTGGGGTTTGGTTTTATACGACACTGTACTGTATAGAGATGATGCTAATCTCCACCAGGTGAGCCTGCAAAGCTCCTTCCTCTGCTCCTCCCACAGAGAAAGCAAGACTTGAAAAAACAAGTGTAGCCAATTCTAGTATGGCTTCCTCAGTTTGTTAACATTCTTTAAAAAACCCTTTGTTTTCATCTCAGCTAAGGAAGCAATTCTAAATTGATGCTTTTACAATTCAGCGTTTTCAAACACTCCTTGTGATCTCGGAGATCTGAAACTGTCATGCCTCAAGAAAGCCTTGCTTCCAGAAGACCATATTTTCTGCGATTTCCAAGCATTAGCAATCCCCACGATGTCCCCAGTGCTCAAAACAGAGCCACTCAAAATCACGAGACTCATTAGGAGTGGCTAGAGCATCTTGTTGGCACTCCTTCATTGCATCAATGCTAAATTTCATTAAAGGATATTAAAACAACTTTGTCACGCTTTCTCTTGGTAAGTGGTTACTGTAGGTCCTCACAGAAGGGGAAGGATCCGTAAATTGACTAGAACAGAGAAAAGGTCTCTACAATATAGCTGGTTGGGACCTGATAGTCACCCATCACTTGCTTACTCTTGCTTTTAGGGAGCGCAAGGACTGCAACCTTTCTTGATGCTTCCTTCTTTCTAAGTCTTACCACCTCTTAATTTAGCAGAGTTTTGGCTTTCTGGGATTTTAATAAAAATGGTCAATCAGTAATTTTACCTATGGTGTCTTTACATATTAAGAATACTCTTATCCTTGGTTGCCCTATTAAACAAGGACTGACCAGATGGACAATTCTCTGTCTTTCTCTCCTGGGCAGGTTACATCTAATTAAAAGCAGCTCCCTCATTCTACTCCTACTGCACACTATACATATCATCCAGATGTCAGCACTGGTAGTTTCAGCAAAAGCTCACCAAGATTTGGATAAAACTTGCTGCTATTGTTTTGTGGTTTTGTCCCCCCTAGGGGAGGCAGGGAGCCAAAGTTCCAACTGAGCAAAATAAAATTAAAAGTAGATCAGTTTTTTCTGTCTCAGTAGCATGTGCTATGGTATATAATGTATGTTCCCTGCTTCACAAAGGAAATGAAAGAATGAACTTATACAACCGATGAAATAAAGATATCAAAGTATTACTTGCCCCAGCTGATATGTACACTTCACATATAATTACTATTTAATATCTTTGTTTCCTACAAACCAGGAAAAAAGCTTACCCTCTCTCCCAATTCCCTCTTCTTGTAAATAAGCTGATGCAGAATCTTCTAGATTTGCAGTTTCTACTTGACTTTCTTCTTGAATTTATTCTCTTCTTTGCAAAGTAATGTGGTCTACAAAAAGAAGCTATTTAAAATCCTAAATGAATAAGTGTTATAAAAATAATAAATTAGCATACAAGACTGATTTGCACAAAACATATGTTATACTCTGAAACATATTTAGATGGGAGCGCATAATTGCCTGTTCCTTTTCTAATGGCCTGAAGCACAGCGCTAAATCTGAACTTTTCCCAAAGTCTATGCAGCAACGGAGCGCCGCCCCCTCCCTGGCTCCCGACTGAGTTCAGGTCCCCATCGCCTTTCACGTGCTGTCTGCAGGAGTGACAACCAGCTGCAGCAGCCTCAATAAATCTCAACTGCCCCCTGACGACGGGAAACAAATAGCAGCAAACGGCCGTCAGCAATGGGAAAGATGGAAGAGCGGGCAGTGGAAGTGCCGGTCATGGCAAAGGGCAGCAAGCCTAGGAGACCTCACTGTGAGTGCTTCCAGTTCCCCGTGGGTGGGGGTGTAGGTTCTGCCACGCCAGCCTCTGACCTGAGCTCAGAACACCTTGGTCCCTGTATCCCCCATGTTTGGCTCCCTCACAGGCTCAGTGCTGGAATAAGCCCAGCGACGCTTCTGGCCCTGCCCAGCCTCCCCCCACCCACAGCAGGGGCCCAGGAGCTCCACTTCAGCTCAGCCCATGGCCCTCAGCGTCTCCCTGAGCTACGTTGCAGGAGTGCTGGTCTCCAGCCCTGCCTCTGGTATGGACCTCGGACCTGCGCCATTGGTAGCTGTCTCCTGGATGGGCCCCTTGGACATGCCTTGTCATATGTCTCCAGCCTGGTCCCCTGCTGCTCCTGATGGGACCCCCGGCCCAGGTTCATCCCCTCGCATCACCTAGGGCTGTCAACAGACCAATACCTGGGCTGGTACCAGCAGCTTCTGTAGGAGGAGTGAAAGACGAGGCTCTGGGTCACGTTGGGGGTCCACAACCACAGACAATAAGAATACAACTCACCTGAGTCACAGAGAAGTTATCAAAGACAACCAGTCACTCTGTAACACTGAGCCTTCTGCTTATTCCTCGAAAAAACCCCACCCCAAAACCAGAATCATCTTTATTTGAATGTGTTTACAGATTCTGTTATTTTTACATTTTTTCTTTTTTTTCCCCCAAAAAATTACAGGTTTCAACAGAAAAAAATGTTTAAATTACTTTCCAAACCAGCTTCTCCCAAAACACCAGTTGGCTTGGAGTTGCACAGTATTTCACATCGGTGTGTTTGTAATGTTCATGGAAAAGGGAAGCGGCTATCTTTGACTTTTCAGGAAGCCGAACCTCTCCCTCCGCTAAATGGAGCCTGTTCCCTCTGAAGCAAAGTAACCAGCAGCAGCCCATGTGCACATCAAAACGAAGGGGGGCCATCAACAGAAATATAAACAATCCCTCCTGGCAAGCTCATTAATCGACACGTAGCTCCCGTGGAAACAGTGAGGTTGTTCTCAGAGGTACTCGCGTTAAATAGTTAGGTGGCAAAGTTGGACCTTCATTGATTTTAAGGAACTACACAGAGTCTTTCACCTAGAAAAAGGTGAAGCATCTCCAAAAAATAGCTTCTATCTTCGCCCTAAATGTCCAAACGACAACCAACAACAAAAAAGTGTACTTTGCAAGTGAGGTGAATCTTTCTGTGACAAAAGTATTGAAATACACTCTAACATTTATACGGCTAAAGCTAAACAGCAGCAAAATCCAGTGTGTGGTTGCTGGGAGGGCGTGGCAGAGGGTCAACCTGGCAAGCACCTGGTGGGAGCTGACTTCATATAACAGGGTCTGTATTTCGGAAAGCTCAGCAGCAGAATTTTCCTCTAAATACACAAACAGGCACTGGATTTCTCCCTCAAGAAACTGGCAGTGAAATCGGAAGGAAAACCCATGGCAAAAAAGGCCACTTTCCAGGAAAACAAATGTGCGAAAATACAGTCACAGCTCAGCCTCATCTTCTGTGTTGAGACCTAAACCAGAAAAAGGCTGAGAGCCTTGGATGAACTACTTCCTGGGAAATTAAGGCCTATTTTTAGTACCGAGCACTGCATATAGGATTTTACTTTCTGGATATGTTGTTTTTCTGATTATTGTTTTTTCCCCTGTTCAGCTTTCCTATCCGTCCAAGGTGGTTTGCAGAGCACTAGTGATTCAGGTGGTATAACCAGATAAATAACTGAGTTATTATCTTTATGAGGCACAGATCTCTTTGTAATAAATGTACCTTGTAGCTTGATTTACAGCAAAATCCTCCTCCTCTTACTTCCCTAATGAGACCTACTTAAGTCAGCGAGACTAGTCATGATGATAAGATAATTAAGTTTTTAGTACAACTCTGGTTAGTGAGCAGAATGCAGTTCTGAAATAATGAATCTACTAGCTCCAGTCTGATATTCAAAAGGTGTTGATGATTTCGGTATTATTCTTAATGTGCTCTGAGAAAAGTACTTTTTACATTAAAGCTGTAAACCCCATATAGGACACAATTCAAATCACCTTTTAAATTAAAGAATTGCTTTTAGAATGGCAAAGTTGAAGTTCAGCCAGCATAGCAGTGACACCTGCAAACTGACAGTCAAAGCCCCCTACATTAAAATGGAAAGATTTGCATGAATGCGTTTTAAAATGACAGGAGACAGGAATGGGAGATTCTAAGCAAGTTAGACTAAAATTTTAAGAGTGAAATGCCTAAAAATAGGCCCCTGAATGCATAGTTAGGCACCTATATAGAGGCTGCTTGATTTTCAGTTGTTCTGATCACCCAGAGCTCCCATTAACTTCAGGAGCAACTGTGGATACTCAGCTGTTCTAGAAATCAAGCCACCTTTATTCAAGGGTCTAAATATGGATGTCTGTGCCCAAGTTTGGGGGAAAAATAAAAAAAAAAAGGGTTTTTTTGCTACAGAGACATTTTATAAAAGAAAGCAATAGTCAAGTTTCATTTTCTCAGGTTACAATGCTTGAAACTGAATCAACATAACAATTAATAGCGCAACACATCTGTGGCAGAACATTTTGTCTGAGGTGAATGGAAAGCTATTCCAAGATCTGTAGCTCTTAATTAGCAATCTGAAACAGTCCATAGATATTTCATATTCTGCGACTGCAAAGTGTTACCAGGCCACCTAAATCTTTTTCATAGTATTTCAGTGTTGCCATTAATAAGCTTTTCAGGCTGGTCTGAGGAAGACTTTGCAAATCTGTAAGTATTAACTATTTAACTATTTCAGAATTACCATTTTTTCTGCTTTTGGATCAAGTACAACCAGCAGACTTGAGCATATTTTTAAATACTATAAAATATGAAGAAGGGAGAATTAGGCCTTTAATTCTATCTTATGCACTTGGTTGTCAGAAGACTTCTGAATGCTGTTTGCTTAAAGACCTCTTTTGTAAAAGTAATCCTGAGTTGATTTTGTGTCTAAGCCATTGCCAGGTCATGCTGAAGTGCGTAAGAGCCAGTCACATGATAGAAAATCTGCAAGAAAAAATAAAATTTATGATGGAATTATATATGACTATAAATCTGAAAGTGTCAAGGAAATAACAAATTAAAGGCATGTTAGATGAAGATGATGGATATTTGTTTGTGTGTGTGTGTGTGTGCATAAAATATGATGTAATATACCTTTATATACTTGTTTATAGGATCTGAACTAAGGGCTCTTGCTGCTTTGCTTGGAAAGAAAGAAAGAAAAAAAGCAAAGACTTGTTGCTTTTAACTAAGCTTTCAAAAAGAGACAGGTAGAAGACAATGCTTTACTCTCACTGTAATCCGATTCTGATGATTTCAATATTATTTTGTGATATTCAAAGTATCCAAAATTGCTTATGCTTTTATATGGCTTATTTCAAACTATTCTTTTAACTGTACTGTCTTGGGGGTTGAGGAGTGTTCTCCTCATTTTCTATGTTTGATTGTTTTTTTTAAATACGTGTTTGTTTTATTGAATATAAAGATTGGGACATTTTATCTTACATTTTTTTACATGGCACAGCATAGCAGAGCTTTGGTCATGACTGGGGCATTTGTGCAATCCCTGGCAGATAAAAGGATGCTACCCTTAAGAAATCAGAACAAATCGTGTGACACAATCACTAGCTGTGTTGCAAGACTCAGCAGTGATGGCAGTCCAACAAGAAAGCTCATGCTGCTTTGTCATAACCAGGGACATGATTTTAGGTCAAGAGTGAGGCAGAGGCAGTCTGGCAATGAAGCAAGCCAATATTATTCTCATTGCAGGAGTGAGCCAGGGGTTTTCAACAGTCATGAATATTCACCTGACATCTCTCAGCTGTTCTGTATTTCTTAAGACATGTCAGTATTTCAGTTGCTAGGAAAGGTGAGGAAAGGGAACAGACTGATGCTTTTTTCCTCCCCCAAATCCCCTAAATCTCACGTTCTCCCACCAGCAGCAACAGCACAAGGACTTTCAAACTTTTTTCTTGGTTAAAGCTAATATCACCTCATCTCCTGGGTTTAATGAGCATGGAAGTGAAGTTCAGAAACTCTAACGGTTTAGTAGTTCCTATGACACTACACTGTTCTCAACTATGCTGTATCCTTCAGGGTTGATCCCCTGCGCCAGTGAGGTAGGTCGTGGGTAGATAGGTCAGAACCTTTCTTCCCACCGGGAACTACACATTGCCACTGCACCTCACACAGTATTTGTCTGCCAGAAAACACAGCAGCCAGCCTGCACAAAAATAAAAGCAATTAGAAAAATGAGGCTTTATAGGAGGCAATTGCTTTTCTTCTCCAGGAAATAATCAATATGGAAAAACTTCTCTATCAGCAGTACCATATGCAGGATGAGACGTGACTTTCTCCACAGCATGGAAATATATCGTGAACAGTTGCGGCACAGTGACACAAAGGGTCTGTGAGATATTTTGAGGGTCAGCTGAACTGGCAACAGCTAGGAGTGCAGGGAGCACACCACCGTGCATTTGCAGAAGACTCCGTATGTGTACAAACTGAGCCTCTTTGCTCACTGCACTGCAAACCTGGCCCAGGCAATTGCCAGCTGCTGAAATATCAGAGTCCCAGATGTCTGTAATGACAGGCCAAATTTAAAGAAATACTGGGCTGGAAGTGAACCTGTCGTTAATAATGAATTAGATGTATGTTCTATTTTCTTTTAAACAGCACCAGAAAGCACATTCTGCAAAAACAGTAAGCCAGCACATTTAGAAAGATTACTTTTTCTCTCCACCAAGCTGAAAACAGTTAACAACTAACCTGTTTCTCAATGTCTTCCAGCAAACTACTGGCACCCAGGCGAAAGAGCTCTGGTGTTAGCCATTCCACTCCCAGTTCCTCCTTCACCAGCATAAGCCAAGTAATAGCTTCTTTTGCCGTCCGAATGCCCCCAGCAGGTTTAAATCCAACCTTTAAATAGAAAAAAGAAGTGCAATACGCATTTTCATTCATCAGCAATGCTAGAAGAGCAATCAGCATTTGTACACCTGCAGTCTCAAAGTGCCTGTGGTGTATGTAACAACTCTACTTGGTAAGTATCTGACTGCAAACAGTATAAGCTCTGGACTAGCGCTGACAGCTATCAAGCCTCAGCCATCACTGCGAAAGATAACATTTTCATCCTGAGGGACACAGCTGAGGGAGTAATACTTTTGACCCCAGTGCACTTCCTCAGGAGCTGGGTTTGAGGTCTAATGGGAGTACTTTGCCCATAGCACATACTAAGCCAAGGGATTTAGGCAGGACCTGGGATATCTGTATATCACCTGCTGCCCATGTCACAATCTAATTCCAAATATATAACAACAAATATACATGCAATAACATAACACTAAAGAAGCCGAAATAAAGCACGTGAGGCAGCTGACTCATGTGGAGAGCAGTGAGAGATGGTTGTACTTTATAAAAAGCCTGTGCATCGATACATGCAATAACATAACACTAAAGAAGCTGAAATAAAGCACGTGAGGCAGCTGACTCGTGGAGAGCAGTGAGAGATGGCTGTACTTTATAAAAAGCCTGTGCACCACTGTTATACATGATTGGGCTGTACATTCAAACATATCAGAGGTTTAATTTTCACTAAAATTTTCCAAATGGGAATTAAATTAGGGCTGTCTTTACCAAAAATTGAAAGTTTTGTGCTTCACAGGAACTGCAAAACTTCTCTCCCAACACATTGCTGGATATGCTTTCAGTCACTTGATGTGAGATACGTGTCATATTTGGTCAGGTGAACTGCCATGTATGTAGAGGCACACACGCCAAGAAAAACCTATCTTGAGGTAAAGCACGTCTTCAATCGCATGATCAACCTGCTGTGCAGAGCCAGCACTGAGGTGACTTGGCATGCACCCCTAATGCCAGTCTTTTGGTTACGTGCCATTTAAACGCATCTTATTCTGAGACAGAGCTTGTGACACACAGCTATCAAATCCCTCGTCAAAAATTTTGTCACCTGCATTAGCCAAAATGTTGGCCTGCAGCAGCTTACTAAACTCTTGAAAAACAAGGAGAATTAGGAAGAAGTGTTTCTGCATTAAAAAAAAAAAAATCAAATCTGAGCAATCTGTACAGTAGCACACAGTGATTCTTTCTACATTTCCTTCTGCCATAAACCTTTACCTTGGGTACTCCTTCCTGTCAGCTGCCTCCTGCAAGAATTATCGTCCTGATTTCTGTATATACTTTCCTGAAACCTCACTGCATTGAGAATTTCTTTGTACCTTATGGATATAATAGTAGAATCAAAAAGTATCTGTTTTTAAATGTGTTTTGTAATTTTTTTAATAGTGATTTCAGGACAAACAAACAGAATAAATCCTTCTCTCACACTGAAGCATCATGATAACAGCGTATTTCCAATAAGATTATGAAGAACAATAACAGGAAAAGCTTGATAAATCCAAAACATGAAGACTGTGTTTTTGTGGATGGATGGATGGATGGATGGATGGATGGATGGATGAGTGTATGCATACATCTGTTAATACTAGATTTCCAAAAGGAATTTAAACCACAGCAACTGGAAAAGCATTTTCTAGACAATAAATTAAAATAGTGGGAATGTGTTTTCCCTCAGGAAGAGAAATTCTAATGAAATTCAAATTTAGATTTCTTCCTAGAAATATTACAGCTCTTTGAGATAATCTGTGGCAAAACCAAGTAAAATAGAGATAAGAAGAGAATGAAAAACACCATGCAGAATTCATTCCCTTTTTAACAAATTCTGGAAGCACTTTTCTTTGCAAAAAAGCTGACAAAGACAAGCCTGTCCTGTTCTCCATTTACCAGCTTTCCAAACGGCACATCTGACTGCCATAAAAAAGCAAAAAGGAAGGGGGGTTGGAATTTAATTCAAGAGCAGTACAAAGTCCAGCTACCACTTTCCTGCTGTTTCACAGCATTTCATTATTTTGCTTAATAAGTTCATCTCCTCAAGAATTTTCTCTTCACCTTATATTATTAAAAGTAATAAGTTTTTCTGGGTTGGGGGTTTTCCCAACAGAAAAACCAATTTATGTATGTCCTTCAGTAATGACAGGAAAAGATTATTTCCCATTATATTGCACACTTTTCATATCACCACCACAGCTTATCATTCAATAAATGTTACTCTGCAACTTGTTCCTTTCCTCGAAGTTTAATTTCTGTATTAACCTGTTTTTCCCAGCCAACGCCTTGCTAGAAAGCATCCCTACAGCAGCAAAATTAGTTTGTTAAAGAAACCATTTAGAAATCTCGTCATTGATAATATTGTCTTCAGTTAATAAAAGCACATAAAGTCAGTTTACATCTAATTCACTGACACACACATGCACACAGACATAAGCACTCATTCTTAATAACACATTTCATGCCATGAATGCATCCTTTTAAAGCAAAAAGTTAATTCAATACTTATATCCAATTATAGGTACAAAGCTGTGTTAGTGCAGCAGAGCCCAACCTCTGGCACACAGCTCGTGTCAGCAGCACCGGTGCCGAGGTGAGTCACCCGGCCCCAGGGATCTGCCTCAGGTCAGCAGCAGTGACGATGCTCCCGCAGAAGCAAGACTATCGGAGCTGCTCGAGTCGTTGTGTGGCAGAAAGAGATGCAGGCTGGGAAGGGAGGAGTGAGGACAGCCCAGGGATCCATGCTGGCCTCATCTAGATGACTACAAAGAGCAGACGGACACACGTCTAACCTGCTGTCACGTGCTCCTCAAGCTCCAACAGCCCCTGAAGCCATCTCTGCCCCTATCCCACTGCTCATCCCATGTCCTAACATCATACCTTGAAAGGCCACCTGCAGAAGGGACAGAAGGGTGAGGTGGAGAGGTGACCCAGAAATGGGTAGAGGGTCTTAGGTAGAGGTATGATTTCCTTCCCTGAGGCTGCAGGTGAGGACAAAGCCCACTGCTGAACACCAGCACCAGATCTAACTGGCAGTCCCCACTTGCCTGTGGATAAAGGAGGTGAGAGGTGGCTTAAGCCTTCCTGGATAACCTCCTCCTTTCTCACTGCTTCAGCGCAAGGATGGATGCACAGATAGTCCACCACTGGCTCTGCCGTATGCTCCCCCCTGCTCCTTGCCTCCACTGACCTCACTTGACAGTGACCTGATGGATAAATGTTGTGTACCAGGACATAATGTTCTTCCGGCCCCTGTCCCTCCCTCCCTCCATCCCAGACAACAGGATCCAACTGGATCTGCCTTCTTGTCCCCTTGGAAAGCCCCTCTGGCAAGGGAGGAAAGAGCAGAATTTACCTCTTGGGTTGCCAGAACAAAGTCAGAAAATACAGTTGTGTACACTGGACAGACTCTCAATGGCTATAAATTTGTATAGCTCCACTGAGGTTTATGGGAGTATGCCAATCACTGTCAGTTTGGGATTTGCCCTGTTATTAATGGAGATGACCATTTAAATACCTTAAATGGTGAAACAAAACTCAAATGCAAATGCAGCAAGATTGCATGAGCTTTCAGGGAATGAAGTGACAGTTATTCAAGGGAGGAAAGCCAAAAGTGCTGCCTTAAAAATGCTGCCTTTTTTTTTTTTTTTTTTTTAAGTATACAAATACTAGCAAATCAAATGAGGAATAAAGAGAGAAGTCCCTTTACCTATTGCTCATATAGCCACGGAAGCTAACGTACGTGCATTTATATGTTCTACATTTTGAAACTATTACAGTCTTATTTCCTTCCGAGTGAGCCTGTTTGCTTAATTTTTATAAAGGTAGCAAGAATTACCTTGTTGCCAGTTTGCCAGTAGAATTCTCTAATGGCTCGCATCATGACTACTCCGACTGGAAAGGTCGCATTTTCCACCTCCTTTCCTGTAGACGTCTTTATAAAATCAGAACCTGGAAGGAAGTAAAAAGCTTTATGGTAGTTTTAGAACAAGAGCCACTCTGCACATACATAGTTCACACCCTCCAAAGATGTCCTCATGCTTCACAGCAATTATGAAGCATTTCTCTACATGTACATCCCTGTGGTGTTGGTGCTAACCTTGGTCTAGTCGAGGCTACAGCAGGAGGATGATATCCATCCGGTTTCAGAGCAAATCAGACATCCCAGCGGCTAAATGAACATCCCAGCTCTTAATTCTTTGCTCTAGCTATCAGATCAACAATCTCTTCAGGGCAGTCCAATATAATATATGTTCCTGTACGGACACTCAATATATGTGTATATATACATTAATAGGAATGTCTCTGACTAACCACAACAATGGAAATTATTTCCTCCGAACAAATTTTGCATATAAATCAACATTTATTATTTCCACAAGGATCTTTCTGAATAGAAACAATTTTCATCAGTTTTTTTACTTTAACTTTGCATCTATTTAGTCTCACATTTCACAGTCTAGTATTGTATCTCCCGCAGCTGTCTGAAGTGAAAGGGAAGAAATCCCACATGTATTTACGAAACCAGCTGTGTGATACTGTAAACAGGGGAAAAAACTCCCTTCTTATGCATTTTGCAGTTGTAACATTGCAAATTACTATACTTAAAGCCATGGTCTGATATAATGCAGTAACAAGGTCAAAACATCTCTGTTGTTTAAAGAAGGAGAGTTAGCCTTGGCTTATTTTTTTCTGGTTTCTCACATGTGAACAATATTCTCCACTGCCTGTCCTGAATACTTGTGTAGTGTTCTTGTGTATTCTTGATGTCCTGGGTTGGCTTAAAACGAATCCTGCAGCACGATATAACAAAAAGCTAAGACACTAACCAAAAAATTTGCCTTGCAGTGTATGATCCTGCATTGACACAATACAATGACAAAACTTCTTTAATTGCATTAGGGCACACTTCATCCTTAGGAACCTACTTCTCAGAAAAGGTGTACTGCGGGATCATTAATTATCAAAAGTAATCGGGAGAAGAAGAGGGATAATTCAAACATCGCGTAGTAGTGCATCATCCACTTAAGTCAATTGGAACTGCATCTGCTTCCACTTCAAATTTGGCTTAGGGTCCATTTTGTCTTTTATTTGAATGATGATGCCTCTACAACATCCCCTAGAGTAAGCAAGGAAAGTTTCACTAGTGGCTCAAACTAAAGGGCTGCCTCGATTGCATTTTGACTGTGTGCTGCGGCACACTCCAGAGACCCGTCTTCCTGATGACACAGCTGATTGGCACACAGCTAGGTCTCAGCCTGATGGGAAGTTAAGACAAAGCCAGGCATGTTTCTGCATCCTGTGATTTAAACATAATCAAACGGTATCACTAACATCGTGTCTTGTAAGACCACGGTTTTCTCTGTAGGCTTCCTGTCTAGGCACTAACTCAGCCCATTGGTGATTAAATTGCATCCTCCTATGACAATTCCCATTCTAAAGAGAAACAGTTATTTGCAAAAAAAGTTCTAACTCCAGAAAAAGTGCAATGTGCAAAAGAGGCAATTAATAGTTGATTGAGCTTTGCGAAGAACGGAGCACACAGGAGAGACAATTGAGTTACATATTTCAGAGCTACTCCCTTCCAGAGAGACACTGTGGACATCTGATAGTCACATTAAAACAAGTAACAGTGGAAGTGAAACTTCATCGCCAAATTGTATTTTTAATTTCCCTTTCGAAAGGTAGCACTTAAAGTCCTTCAGTGCAATACTTTCCATTTTTTCTAGTATAAGGTAAGTCAAAGCTTTTATAAGTCTTATAATTACAAGTCTCTATGGTACAGTTTCATTAAAAACTTTCATTAAACAACAGCTGCCCTTGTATATGGTCTTCTAATCAATTTGGTCAAACAGAATGACTTCTAATCAGCTGTTGATAAAAATAGAAGATGAAATTTTAATTCTAATAGATTAACCACAAACTCAAGATAGTCTTCAAAATCCATCTAGTTCTATTCTCCAGTGGATTTAACGACTATTCAGCAACTCATTACTAAATAGAACAAGATGAACATTTTCCAGTTCATTAAAGAAATGTACTATGTATTTTTGCATTGTCCTCATGATTCGTTACAGGGAGTCTTAATTACAAGATAATGGATAATGGTTATTAAATGCAGACTCCAGTAATGAACCTCTATTCATTTGTGAGCCTCAGAGACTGCAAAGAGGGGAAAATAAAATTAGTAGCTTCAAAAGATTAACGGATCAAATTATTATTCAATTTTGAAAATCTCATTCAGACTTCATAGAAACAAGAAGAGATTAAAAACTAGTATTAGTACAAAAGTAGTGCATTTATATATTTATTTTTAAATAATATCTTAAGGTTATTACCAGAATAATCAGCTTTAGATGTGATTATTAGACAAACATACAGCCAATTTAGTAGCATCCTCTAACAATGAAAACAACACATTTTTATTTCCTGAACAAATTCTATTTATGACACAAGAGCTTGCTAGCAGGATTGCATGCAGCCTCTTGCAGAAGACAGAAGATGCACGCTAGCAGAGCGCCACAATGGAAGGTGCTGTTAACATTGAGATTTCAGGAATGAAAAGGGGGATTTAAAAGTCAGCCACTGCTGTAAAAAGCACCTCATTAAGTAGACTTTATGCCAACCTCGTAATCCTAAGGGAGTTTCACCAAGTCTCCTTCTTATTCAAGTTTTCAAAAACAAGTCTAAGAAATGACGTTCAGCAGGAGTTTCATCTGGAAATTTAGGTGACAATTTAGAAACTGAGTTTTATCACCCATCTTCTCATCTTCCTATGAATGTATACACTCCAAAAATCAAAGCTAATGTTAAAATACATGCTGGATGGCTTTCCCTTTCCTTCGAGTAGGTTACATGATTCAATGAAACATTAAATCAAAGACTTAAAAAAAATGAGTTCTTCAGGGTAGATTTCTAGGCCTGGTGAGCCTGGAAAAGGCCACACTTTCTACTCTTTTCCAATGTGTAACCACAACGGTACAAGGCAGCAAGTCACATAAGACTCACTGAATCAGCAGAGAGTGGAGACATCAAAGCCTTTTTGAAACACAGCAGCATTACACGCCTGTTTCAGGTGGGCGTGCTGCTGACCTAGTAACCCACCTGCGTGCGACACACTACAGCACAACAGCCTGGCAAGCACAAACTGCATCAGCTTACTTTAACCAGAGATGGAAATCTGAATAAACCTTAAGAAATGTGAACAGTGCCACAGCCTCTGTTTGAGAGGCTCTCGTTGGTCGAGAGCAACCGAGCTATCAGAGCCGTTGGGCACCAGACCACTTGGGCTGCAGTCACACGTCTTGTGAAATCAGGTAGAGTATTTTAAGATATTAAATCCCCTCTTCCCTTGCTCTCTCACCCTCCATACACACGCAACTCTCGGCCACTGCACTCCACCAAAGTCCACTCAAAATAAGCCAGCTGAATGTGCACACGCTAAAAAGAAAATCAGTGTCTTCATAGCATGTTGCCTGAGTCCATACCTAGAGGTCAAGATGAAGTCCGTTATATTACTTCTATTCTAGATGCTCACACAGCCTTATTTATGGTAGCACCTGAGCAGAGTTGTAGAGCTGAGGTATACAGAAGCTGAGTGACTTGCCCAAGGCCTCTCAGCAAGCATTTGGCAGGGCAGGGATTGAATGCCATGGTCTCCCGAAGGCCAGAAAATCTGCCATGACTGGCCTGCCCTACTGCTATCCCCTACATCATCTCAAAATGCTACAAAGCTTCCCAGTCCACGAAACGTTGAAGCAGAGCGTGAGAACCAGAGAATCTTATTTAGATGACAGCATCAAGGAAACGCACTCTGGTTCCAAAATTAAGCAATAAGGAATAATAAGCAGTATAGCAATCGTGGAGTAATCACAACCTTTTGGTTGTGAAGTGCTTCAAATACCCTTGGGGAATGATTATCTCCCGATAACTACAGACTCTGTGTTGTTGCCTTACTCTTAATAAAGAACAAAGATGCGTCTGGCAGTTTTAAACAATAGTTTAAAGAGAGATGCTTGCAGAGGGACAATTATGCCATGCTACTTTGTAAGTATTTGCAACGAGCACAAATATATCTTGGTTGCTGCAACTCAGATATAACAATATGCAGTGACATAGGGTGAACACATACCCCTCCAAGACTTCTAGGACTGGTGGCAAAAAGAGGCATGCTGCTGAGGGGATCTGCAAAAGCTCCTGCTGTTTGTGCTGACAAGGTAGCAATGATAAAATAGTACATTATCAAATGTGCATAAAGTCCCATTAGCAAGTCATCTTTCTATTTTATGAGTACCTAAAATAAGGGTCTTAAGATTCACACACAATTAGCCTGACTAGGGGTGACCAGGTTATCAATCCTCTGAAAATAAGAAGCAGGGCAAGATATAAAAGGCTAATGTAGTAGCTAATTCTTGTCAGTTGAGTCATCGTAACTGGTCACTTACATGTCCTTATCCTACTCCAGTGGCAAGATAAAATACATACCCTGCTAGCTTAACTTTGCTGTTGAGGAGAAGAAGAGAATATGAAGCTGACAACTCACTTTAGCAGTAGCTCACCAAGAAGCTTTAACTCCCACACATGGCTACACTGCCAGACCACTTGGTTAGGTGCCTATGCATGTTTTCACATGCCTGTGTCTAAGCTACCATTTTGAAAAATGCTAGGTTATAACTTGGTCTTTTGTGAACTGCCTATTTTTTGCAATTCTTTTTGGAAAAGTGCCTGCTTGGAGGGGGAAAAAAAAAAATCACGTCATAGGGCTCCATGTTTAATGTCCCTTTACAAATAAGACAACCTTACTAATGACCCATCCTATCACCTCAGCTTGGTTTTCAAGACACGGAATGGATGCTTCCTCTCTTGTACACCACCTCCGGTAATAGGCGTTCTGCAAGCCAAATCATGCCCTTAGGAACACTTATTCATGCACATGAAGGGACAAATTATTA